GATCGGATGAATCCACGAGTGTCAGAAGGGCCTCAGAGAGCTGAACGCATCCGGCACTCGACCCCTTGATCAAGAAGCCGTGTTGTGGAACCCGGTAATAGGAGTATGTCAGTAAGTAGTGATCCCAGACGGGGTAACTAAGGAGGAAAGGTTAAAGGGCTCTATATGCTCTAGGCTGACATAGTCTAGAGCATATAGAGTGTGAGTGTGTGTGAGTGTGTGTGTGTGTGTGTGTGTGTGTGTGTGTGTGTGTGTGTGTGTGTGTGTGTGTGTGTGTGTGTGTGTGTGTGTGGGTGGGTTGAGCTTTGCTCTTTCGGCCCGCCTCTCAACTGTCAATCAACTGTTCACTAACTACTATTTTTTTTTTCCCAAACCACACACACACACACACACACACCAGGAAGCAGCCCGTGACAGCTGACTAACTCCCAGGTACCTATTTACTGCTAGGTAACAGGGGCACTTAGGGTGAAAGAAACTTTGCCCATTTGTTTCTGCCTCGTGCGGGAATCGAACCCGCGCCACAGAATTACGAGTCCTGCGCGCTATCCATCAGGCTACGAGGCCCCTAGGTGTGTGTGTTGTGTGTGTGTGTGTGTGTGTTGTGTGTGTGTGTGTGTGTGTGTGTGTGTGTGTGTGTGTGTGTGTGTGTGTGTTGTGTGTGTGTGTGTGTGGTGTATTTGCGTGTGGTTGCAAGGCCAAGACGGTGGCTGCCGCAGGCTGTGCTGGAGGGGGTGATCCAGCCCCCACTTGCCTTCCCCCCCCCCCCCCACCACCACCTCTTTTCCTTCCCACCTCACTACCCCCCTTCACCCCCCCCCCCCCTTTCCCTTGCTTTACCCTCTCACTACTTCGACTCCTTCCCTTCATCCTCAGATCTTCCTCATCCTCACCCCTTCTCTCTCATCATTCCCCATTCTTAATCCACCAACCCCCCCCCCCCCACACTCCCCAACACTATTTCCCATATACCTCCTCCCCCTCCCTCTCTCACACACTCTCCCTCCAGCTGTCATTACCCCTCCCCCCTCAACTCCACCACCCCCCCCCCCCAACCTCCAACACCTCCACTTCCTCCTCCAAGAGCTATAGCTGATCGCCGTATATTTTGTCAGTGCTTGTATCACCTATAGTGTTGACAGCTCCGTCTCCATGACCTCATCTTTGAATGAGATATCACCCTGGATTTCAAGCCTGTTCAAAACCAGGGATAACATTCTAAAATTTCTTGTGTTTCTCTTCTTTGTCCCTGAGTGTGTCTCAGTGAGAGAAGAGAGGCGGAGGCAAGAGAATGACTGTGGTATAAACTACCTTCAGTAAGAAACACACTATATATGTATATATAGAGAGAGAGAGAGAGAGAGAGAGAGAGAGAGAGAGAGAGAGAGAGAGAGAGAGAGAGAGAGAGAGAGAGAGAGAGAGAGAGAGAGAGAGAGGAGGGGGTGGGAGGGTAGGAGGTAGGTCTGTGTGTGTGTGTGTGTGTGTGTGTGTGTGTGTGTGTTGTGTGTGTGTGTGGGGTGTGTTTGTGTGTGTGTGTGTGTGTGTGTTGTGTGTGTGTGTGTGTATGTGGTGTGTGTGTGTGTGGTGGGTGGGGGGGGGGGTGTGAAGCGCATCTACGTGTGCTTACCTATAAGTGCATGGCATGCCGAGTGTGTGTTATGGAACAAAGGAAGCCCCCCCCACCTACCCCTTGCCACTACCACAATCACCCTCAACCTATTAGTCTAAAGGTTAAGAACACAAACTACCGCGATGCCAATTACGGGTTCACCATAGCCCGTGCTACATGGAACCTTTTTGTTCAGAGTACCTGAATCTAAAACAACAACAACAACAACGATGCCACGAAATACAAAACATAGATTTCATCAATTTCTATTTATTGCTCATATCATAATTTCAACCCATCCTCCATAAATAATAGTCCCTATAGCAACTATTGCTCCAACGTACAAATATCGACTGTTGTAGCCAAAAATGTTCACGTGTTGTACTGTAGCAACACTCGAAAAGAAGAACATAAGAACAAAGGTAACTGCTAGAAGGCCTATTGGCCCATACGAGGCAGCTCCTGAACAAATCCACAAGGGCCGTGACGAGGATTCGAATCTACGTCCGAGAGCATCCCAGACGCTGCCTTAATCGACTGAGCTACGACATGGTCAAAAAGAATTCAAACCAGAAGTTCTACTGAACTTACTTGGATCCTGCAGCCTCTCCGAGACACAAACCAGGGTTTTACACAATTTGATGCGTCACGCTATTGTGATTTCTGTGTGTAGTGAGGCAGCTCTTATATATAACCACCCAATCCCACATGTCATACACATGTCCAATTGGCATGCCAAAAAATAGAGCAGTAACAACCCAACATGTCCCCAGGCCTAAATAAGTCATGCTAGGCCTAAAATAACCATATTAGACCTATAGTGCTATATTAGACCTAGGAAAAATTAGGTTTAGTGACCATGTCGTAGCTCAGTCGATTAAGGCAGCGTCTGGGATGCTCTCGGACGTCGGTTCGAATCCTCGTCACGGCCCTTGTGGATTTGTTCATTTAGGTTTGGTTGTTGCCTTCTCTCTCTCTCTCTCTCTCTTGCCCTGTACAAAACTAATAGTACAAAATACAACAATCACAATAGAGTGATATATCAAATGAACAAATCCACATGGGCCGTGATGAGGGTTCGAACCGACGTCCGGGATGATTCAGGATTTGTTCATTTAATAGTACATAATGTTAATTTTTTGGTACAACGGTTCATTTGTAGGGCAATAGTTTTTTTATGAGATATATACAAGAGTTGTTACATTCTTGTACAGCCACTAGTACGCGTAGCGTTTCGGGCAGGTCCCTGGAGTACGATCCCCGCCGCGAAGAATCGTTGTTACAACCAAGTACACATTTTACTGTTGAGTTAAACAGAGGCTACAGTTAAGGATTTGCGCCCAGTAAATCCTCCCCGGCCAGGATACGAACCCATGACAAAGCGCTCGCGGAACGCCAGGCGAGTGTCTTACCACTGCACCACGGAGACTGAAGTTGCTCTAAGTTTGCCCGAAACACTGTGCGTATTAGTGGCTCTAGGCATAATGTATGTCAGCTCTATCTAGAACTCCAACATTCTGTTTGTAATGAATTTTTATGTATGTACATAAATAATAATAATAATATTGTTGATTTATTATTAAATAATATCAATTTTGAATGAGAGGTTGCACATTTTATTATCACGGGGCGAAGCCAACTTTAACTCTTCAGAAAGGTGTACACACGTCATCCTGTGAGTCGTTGTAAACAATAATTCGTTCATAGACAGGTGAGTTTGTCGGCTTGATTAACGAGCGTTGGTTTGTGTGATTCGAATCTTCGTGAGTGTTTCGTGTGGCATCGAACAGTGCAATTTCCGTAAAATCTTCCAAGGTTTCATTCATGTTTTTATCTCAATCTCTATCTCTCTCTCCCAGCCCTGCCTAACCACTTGGGCTGGACGGTAGAGCGACGGTCTCGCTTCATGCAGGTCGGCGTTCAATCCCCGACCGTCCAAGTGGTTGGGCACCATTCCTTCCCCCCCGTCCCATCCCAAATTCTTATCCTGACCCCCCCATCCTTTCCAAGTCCTATATAGTCGTAATGGCTTAGCCCCAGATAATTCACCCCCTCCCTTTAAGGAAGGCTGTCTTATTTCTGCTTACCCTAGCTTCCCCTTCACCTCTATAACTATCTACGGGCTCACCATAGCCCGTGTTACTTGGAACTGTTTGTTCCAAGTAGCGAATCTTCAACAACAACTTCACCTCTCCTGCCTAAACATTACCTATATATACACCATCTCGCCCTGAAGCCCCCTGGGACTTGAAGCTCTCCAGAGGCGCCTCGGGGCCGCCTGAAGGACCGCCCTGGGGGAGGAAGTGCCTTAGGGAGGAGGAGGAGAAGGGAAGAAGGAAGCCCTGAGCCTTGCCCCTGAGGGAACGTTTACCCTCGGGGTCTTACAGCCAGTAGGAAGGGAGGTGGTTCACCCAGGGTAAATCACCTACAGGGAAAGCTTACCTAGTGTCTATTTCGTCGTCTGGGGAGGAGGGGGAAGGAGCGACTGGGGAGAGGGTGGGGGTTTCTGTGAGGGGGGGAGGAGGGGTTCTGAGCCATGTGGGGGGGTAGGGGAAGGAAGCCCACTAGTGGAGGAGGTGTGTGGGGGACCTGGGATTTCAGGATGAAGCCTCGGGCCCTGTGAAGGAATAGAGGAGCAGGGGAGGGGGTGAGAAGCCCTGGGGACCAGTAGAGGTACGAGCCTCAGGCACTGGGGGAGAGGGGGAGAAGGAGGGGGAGGAGGAAGATTCCTGGGATCTAGCTGTGTCTTGCCTTTGCACCGGAAGTGGGCACAAGGTGGCTCATTTCTCTTCCCTCCAGCAAGATCGGCAGGTTTGAGGGAGGGGGGGAGGAAAGGGGGGGGAGGGGGAGGGGGGGAAGTCAGCAGGTGGTGGGGAGGAAAGGGGAGAGGAGAGGGGGGAGCGACATTTGCTTTATCTCTCCTAATCTATCACCAACAGTCTTATCAGAGGTGAATTGTCAGTTAGAAGTCGCGTGCTGTCATATATACAGCATTTGAGATCTATTGAGGCACTCTGGAGGCCCATCAAACCAAGTTGCCGGTGGATTGTGCTTTAATGCGAGGCTGCTCACGGGCTCACCATAGCCCGTGCTACTTCGAACTTTTTTTGTTCCAGGTAGCGAATCTTAAACAACAACAAACGAGCTGCTGTAGTCCCGGTGAGCTCCTGCTGTGCAATACAACCGTGTATTACTGTGCAATACAGCCCATTGCTAGGATTCATGGCAAACCCAAGGACCAATAGGGATTCAAACCCCTGCAATGCATGTTTGAGCTTAGCTAGAAATCAGTCGATTGATTCAGCTTGGCCAAGCCGAATCTCTTAAGCCTTGTACTTAAGCATAAGAAGAATAACTGGCCAATCTCTCACGGTGATCAAGAGAGATCTTCATGATCCAAAGGAAAACAGATCAACCAGGCTGTCATCCATACGTCAGACTGCGAGCAGCTGTCCGCGGCCCGGTTACCGCGGCCCTGTTACCTCCTGATCAAGTAGGTAACTCAAGTCGCTGCCTCCTTCTCCTCCTCCTTACCCAATAAGCATTTCAGGGGCACTTAATTACGTTTTTAAGGGACATGGAGGAAGGAATGAGGGTGGCAGAGGGAAGAGAAGAATGAAGATGGAATTAGAGGGGGAATGAAGAAAGAATGTGTGGCAATACTGAAGTGGAATATGTGCCAGGGGAACTTGTAGGTGAGAGATGAGAGATGAGAGATGAGAGAGATGAGAGATGAGAGATGAGAGAGAGAGAGAGAGAGAGAGAGAGAGAGAGAGAGAGAGAGAGAGAGAGAGAGAGAGAGAGAGAGAGAGAGAGAGAGAGAGAGAGAGAGAGAGAGAGAGAGAGATAGAGAGAGAGAGAGAGAGAGAGATACGAGAGTTAGAGAGAGGAGGTAGAGAGAGAGAGAGAGGAGAGAGAGAGAGAGAGAGAGAGAGAGAGAGAGAGAGAGAGAGAGAGAGAGAGAGAGAGAGAGATAGAGAGATACATGTGAAAGGGAAATAGGTGAGACGTGGAAGGATGGAAGGAGGTATAGAGAGAAAGAGAGCAGATAATTGATTAATACATCAATTTCTCTGAACATTTTCCATTCGAATGTCTCTCTCAATCCTCTTTTACACCCCTCCCCCCCCCCACCACCATCTAAAAAAGGTAATTAGGACACAGGCGGAATCAAACTATTCATCTAATCGTAGTTAAAGACCAACACACTCTTGGCTCTACCTATCAATAAAAAGCGAAATTGAAGGGCACAGAGTTCACTCTCCCAATAGGACAACAGGACTCATCCCTTAGACCAAGAAACACACTTAGTCTTTCTCCTATCCTCTAATCCTCTAAACTAAACTAGGGCCTTAACATGCCGTGGGAAAAACCATCCCTTCTTACTATCCCATCCCAGACAATGGTGTTGTTCAAAGGGAAGGGAAGAGTAAAGGGACGAAGGGATGGGGGAGGTGGAAGGGAGGAGTAAAGGGACGAAGGGATGGGGGAGGTGGAAGGGAGGAGTAAAGGGACGAAGGGATAGGGAAAGTGGAAGGGAGGAGTAAAGGGACGAAGGGATGGGGGAGGTGGAAGGGAGGAGTAAAGGGACGAAGGGATAGGGAAGGTGGAAGGGAGGAGTAAAGGGACGAAGGGATAGGGAAGGTGGAAGGGAGGAGTAAAGGGACGAAGGGATAGGGAAGGTGGAAGGGAGGAGTAAAGGGACGAAGGGATAGGGAAGGTGGAAGGGGAAGAACGAGAAGGGAAGGTTTAGGGACAAAAATCAACACATTCACTCCCTGTCGTGGAGTTGATCACGAGGCGCCGGAAACGTACTTACGCAGTCACTTTTTGTCTCAAGTGTATTGTGACCGCGTGATCCATACTACTCCAGCTCTTGGCCCCCAGGCTGTCCCCTCCCCCCGGACCTCCCCCCCCCCCACATTCTAGCTACAGAAGTCTCGGTGGATAATCGTCTGAAGGAGGATGTCCCGGCCAGTCATTAGCAAGTCCAAGAGTGTGATAACATCAGGCCAACAGTGTCCCCAGGCGTAAACCCATTGCGTCAGGCCGTAGAGGGAGTAGTACAGGTGGGCAGGAGGGCATGGGCAGCCGGGCATGGGCAGGAGGGCAGCCGGGCATGGGCAGGAGGGCAGCCGGGCATGGGCAGGAGGGCAGCCGGGCATGGGCAGGAGGGCAGCCGGGCATGGGCAGCAGGGCATGGGCAGGAGGGGGCAGCCGGGCATGGGCAGGAGGGCAGCCGGGCATGGGCAGCAGGGCATGGGCAGAAGGGCAGCCGGACACGGGCAGGAGGGCAGCAGGGCATGGGCAGAAGGGCACGGACATGTGGGCAACAGAGCTCCTGTCAAAGGCAGTGTCTCTCCAAGGTCTCTATCTGGTTGAAAACGTTGGTCTTGCACACAAATGAGTGGTCGTGGGTGTGACCCCTGGGCAGGTGTCTCTTTCTCGGTGTCCTTACAACTGATGCGTTTATTCACCTAGTTGTATGTAGAGCAACGAGGGAGGAGGGGTTTTAGTCGACTGTTGTGGGTAGCATCATATTGAAGTCTATTGGGTGACACTACCGAACGTGTTATACAAACTGAGGATTTCTTAAAAAAAAAAAACTTGAGAATGGATGAAATAATTGGATAATTGAAGGTACCCAATACGGACAGGTCAAAGAAGTTCAAGACTCTTGAACCTTGAACCTGCCCCCCCATCCATCCACCACTGCCATACCCCCTCCTAACCCTCCCATCCACCACCACTACCCCCCCCACCCCCACACACTGACCCCACAATCCACTTTAAAGCAATAATTACTCAACCAGGCCAACCAGCAGTAATTTTCTTGCCACTTCCTGCTTCTGTACTTAAAGTGACTACTTCCCCCCCCCCCCAACCCCCTCAGTCCCTTACCCCCCCCCTCCCTCTCCCCCCACCATCCACGCCACCCCCCCCCCAACCCCCCCTCGGTCCCTTACCCCCCCTCCCTCTCCCCCCACCATCCACGCCACCCCCCCAACCCCCCTTCAGTCCCTTACCCCCCTCCCTCTCCCCCCACCATCCACGCAGCCCCCCCAACCCCCCTCAGTCCCTTACCCCTCCTCTCCCCCAACCACCCACGCAACCACCACCCCAACTAAAAATCACCACCTATATGAAACCCCAAACCTCCGCCCCCATATAAACCTCCCCCTCCCCCCTATTTAATTGCTCCACCCTACAACCTATGTACCTCCATATTCACTATTAAACCCCTCCGCTCTTGGCAACCCCATCCCCCCCTTAAACCACCCTTACACCCAGACTATCATCTACACCCCCTCTAAACCCCCCTCTAGACACCCCCCTCTACACACACACACACACACCCGCCTCCGGGGGTTAGCTCAAACACCATTAATTCCTACTAAACAAATAGATAACTGTGAGAAAACAAATATTTAAAGTGAGAAATAATTAAGAGGCTAAGAGCGGTTGTGCTTTTGAAGAACAACCAAGAAACAAATGCACCTCTTGAGATCTGCTACGGGTAATTACGGGTAAAGCCAACCCGTCCTCAGGCGAAGCTCGGTAAAGCTGCGGCGCCGTCTCTAAACACGCATTCATCAATATGTACGTATTATGAATAATCAATATATTTCACATTTATATATAATATTATTATATATAAAAATTCTATGTATAATTAGGCATAATTAAGGTGTTTAAGTTCTGTTGGTGATTGTTTATATTTGAAGTCCATGGGTGAAGCATTTAGATCAAATCGTCTTCGACTCAAGTCCATTCCATCCAGCGGTCGACCCCACAGACGCATTCATAAATTTAAACATACTGTTCATTCAAAACGAGAATTTTCTCAAATATAAATTAATATAATAATATATTAGCATATTGTGCATATATAGACATCCTATGGTATATATAGGTTAGGTTAATAGGTTAGGTTAGGTTAGGTGTTTAGGTTCTGTTGGCGATTATTTGTAGTACGTGGGTGGAGCATTTATAGCATTGTGGTTCGAACAAAATTCGTCAGTGAAGCACTTGTTCCGGAAGTGTTCGAACGTCAGCAGTTGTGAGTCGTGTGTAAACCGTTTTTCATTCATAAACAGCTGGGGGTTTGGCGGGTGCATGGAATGACCTTTGGGCCTTTGTTTAGAGGACGGGTTGTTTAGATCGTTGTGATTCGAACAGAGGTCGTCAGCGAAGCCCTATTCGAAAAATGTTCGAACGTTATCAGTTCTGAGTTGCGTGTAAACCGTTTTTCATTCATTAAACAAGTTTGGCGGCTGGAGTAACGAACACTTGGCCTGTGTTGATGAGGTCGGGCTGGACAAAGCAGAGAGGCAGCGCTTGAGCACCCGCTTGGCCCTCAACCCTGGCAGGCGCTCAGCGGCCCAGCACGAAGCGTCCCCACTCACTGGACTGTGACGGTCGACTCGCGCCTTATTTCCTGTGCGTTACCTTGGTTATTATGGCGTGGCCTCCGTGGCAGTGACCTGCACTTGGCCGCCACGTTCTCACCACACACCGAGGCGTTGGCCACTGTGCCACACACTCTGTAGCCACGGACTCTGTAGCCACACACTCTGTGCCACACACTCTGTGCCACACACTCTGTGCCACACACTCTGTGCCACACACTCTGTGCCACACACTCTGTAGCCCCTAGACTCTTTCACCTCTATAGAGACTGGTTCCTACGAAGTGTCCGAGGCCCCCACAGACACAGACAATTACCACAGACTGGCAAAGTGTCTTCATTAACCCTACACGCATTTAGTTTGATTCTACTGCTCTACTGAGGATGAAATCTTTGTGGTTCTTTTTTTGCCGTTTTTCTCAAAGAAATAGTTCCAAGAAAAGCCATTTTCAAGGACAATAACACCGTTTTTTTTTTCCTACCACAGACGTGGCCACACATTTACAATGCTAACCAGCATAGGACAATAACACCCTGTGTAGAGCACTTTTTTTTTTTTTAAGTCTGGAACAGCCGGCCAATATAACTACAAGTGTCCGCCAGAAATATCTATCTTGAGGTTATCTTGAGATGATTTCGGGGCTTGGCGACGCAGCGCCCCGGTCCTCGTCCAGTCTTCCTTTTTGTTACACATCCCCAGGAAGCAGCTGTCTAATTCCAAGGTACCTATTTACTGCTACGTAAACAGGAACATTAAGGTGAAATAAACTCTGCTCATTTGTTTCCGCCTCCGCCAGGGATCGAACCTGGAACCTTAGGACTACGAATCCCGAGCGCTGTCCACTCAGCCGTCAGGCCTCAGTAACATGCAGAGTTCAGAATCGTTCGAAGTTCACTATTAAAGACCAGAATTACTGTGTTAACGACCTTAACACAGTTTAAGCCTTCTTATTTTCTAAGATGCCCCCCTGGAACATTATTATAAATAGGTTTACCACCATGTTCCAAGTAACTGCTAGGTTAATATTAGCAGATTGTTAAAGATTGGTGTCCAATCTAAATTTACACAAGAGAATGTCTTCATGGTCAGAGGCCAGACGCCCTGGGCTAGCCTCACTAAACTTTTCAAGATGATACATGAGTGAGATGGGCACTCATGAGTGAGATGGTGTGTATATATATATATATATATATATATATATATATATATATATATATATATATATATATATATATATATATATATATATATATATATATATATATATATATATATATATATATATATATATATATATATATATATATATATATACACACACACATACACACACACTCAGCTGCTTATATACAAGTTTTATTGTTCGTCGTTGCTGGTTGGGCAGATAACATCATTATCAGGAGGAACGCTAAGTATCACTAACATATGAAAGGAACACATTGTACCAACAGTACTCAACTACTTGAACCGTCGGGGATCGAACGCCGACCTGCAAGAAGCGAAATGCTCGCTGCACCGTTCAGATCAAGGGGTAGTAACTAGAAAATATAATGATCCTTTCACCGATTCAAAAAATTCTTAATTGCCATATGGAATTATGGCCAGCACACGCAATTTTGCTGGATAATTGGTCCCGTCAAAATTGTCCTTCGCTTGACTTCCCCAGTCAAGCCGTACTGTCCAGCGCTGTTGTTGTTGTTATAGATTCAGCTACTCGGAACGAAAGTTCCAAGTAGCACGGGCTATGGTGAGCCCGTAGTGGACTTACCTGGCACAGGAGCGGGGCAAGTAGCACGGGCTATGGTGAGCCCGTAGTGGACTTACCTGGCACAGGAGCGGGGCAAGTAGCACGGGCTATGGTGAGCCCGTAGTGGACTTACCTGGCACAGGAGCGGGGCAAGTAGCACGGGCTATGGTGAGCCCGTAGTGGACTTACCTGGCACAGGAGCGGAGCCCAGCGCTTGACTACGGAATCATATATATACAAGAGCGGTTGAATGCCCGTGCCAAGGTCACGGAATCTTCGTACTGTGCTTAAGGCAGTTTTTGCTGTGTTCTGTCATTCACGTGAATCTTGAACTCCATTCTGCTAACGTGGCGTCCCCGTCCTCTGCCAACACTCGCATGATGGATAGGGCGGTGGTGGTGGTCGAGGATAATACGCTCTGGAGTTCTATTTCCCCTCGGGGGGCATTATTCTGGAACGTGTGCTTCTTGTTGCTTAGTTTCCATTGCTTTTCAAAGTCATTTATGAATTTTCTTCTGGTGGTTAGTAACGTCTTCGTCTTAAGTGGGTGAGCATTTGAGTTACTTCATCTGCATATGTGGTATATTCTTTAACTTGAAGTCTAATAATATAATTAATAATACCTCATATGTTTTCACGATATATGAGATTAAGAAACAAGGAGTATATTGTGCAAACTAATAATAATAAACAGCATTACCCCTATGACTGTAATATCTCCGTAGCTCAAGGCAATTATGTGTTAGCGATAAGACCGATCATTAATGTATAATGATTAACTGTAAATGAATAGCTATTAAAATTTAACAATATCTGCAACTAGCTGACATTATAATTATAAGGTGTGAAGGATAGATGAAACTGCCAATGTAATAATCTCCGTTGAGGTCTGATAAAGAACTTGTGTGCCCTTTTGTAATCCTTTTTTTTTGCGCTACGGCTCACAGGATGAGTATAGGGTGCACAATAAACTAGAGGGGGATAGATATCTTCCCCTGCGGTCCTCACTTTACGTGTTCTCGCTATCCATCCATATAGCTGCCAATCCTGATCCTGGCTGTTTGTGTAATCAATGGAGCTGCATAGTTTGGTAGTGAATCGCTGACGAAGTAGCGATTCTACTTCGAAGATTCTAAGTGGATATCTTGTAGTTCAGATCTGAGTGCCAGATTTCATTGCAAGTTATCTATGAGTCTCTTGAACGTTACATTATTTTGCAACCTTCATGAACCACCTGTTATCCCCCCCCCCTATGGCTATCACCCCACACCCCACTCTCCCTCTCCCCACCGTGGGTAACACCCCCACCCCACCACCCATCAACACCCGGGGGGGGGGGGGGTTCTATGCTCCAACACTTCCTCCATCAACACACTAATTTTCTCAACTACCACGCTCCCCTCCTCTCCCCTCTCTTCCCCATCTACATGGACATCTCCCTCCCCCCCACCCTTCCCCAAGAGTCTCCCCTCACCACTGTCCCATCACCTCCCCCGGGTTCCCCCAGGTCCCCCAGGGCGTGGCCCCGTGTGTGGCCGGGTGCTGGTGGTCCAGATTTTGTGCACTGTGTACCCCAGGGCATCGGTGAGGGGGTGGGCTGGGAGTGAAGGAGGAGGATCCGACGGGGGGGGGGAGGGAGGAGAGGGGGGCTGAGAGGGTAAGACAAAGATCGTGTGGTCAATATACGCGTACATCAATGCGTACATCAACGCGTACATCAACGCGTACATCAACGCGTACATCAACGGGTACATCAACGCGTACATCAACGCGTACATCAACGCGTACATCAACGGGTACATCAACGCGTACATCAACGCGTACATCAACGCGTACATCAACGGGTACATCAGCGGGTACATCAGCGGTTACATCAACGGGTACATCAGCGGTTACATCAACGGGTACATCAGCGGTTACATCAACGGGTACATCAACGCGTACATCAACGCGTACATCAACGCGTACATCAACGCGTACATCAACGGGTACATCAGCGGGTACATCAGCGGGTACATCAACGGGTACATCAGCGGTTACATCAACGGGTACATCAGCGGTTACATCAACGGGTACATCAACGCGTACATCAACGCGTACATCAACGCGTACATCAGCGGGTACATCAGCGGGTACATCAGCGGGTACATCAGCGGGTACATCAACGGGTACATCAGCGGTTACATCAACGGGTACATCAGCGGTTACATCAACGGGTACATCAACGGGTACATCAACGGGTACATCAACGGGTACATCAGCGGGTACATCAGCGGTTACATCAACGGGTACATCAACGGGTACATCAGCGGTTACATCAACGGGTACATCAGCGGTTACATCAACGGGTACATCAACGGGTACATCAACGGGTACATCAACGGGTACATCAGCGGGTACATCAGCGGGTACATCAACGTGTACATCAACGCGAACATCAACGCGTACATCAACGTGTACATCAACGCGAACATCAACGCGTACATGAACGCGCACATCAACGTGAACACGTGTACATGAATATTTTCGCGTCATGGATATATTCTAACTGAAGATGAAGATGAATGACGATGAGTCTCGGACCTCAGGTAATGATGGGTGATGAGTAAAAGTTGTTGGAGGGGGAGTTCAGGGGGGCTGCGGGGGGTGGCTGCTGGGGGGAGGTGGCAACCTGCTCTCGCACAAGACAGAGCATATATGACTTATTGCTTATAGTCACTATTTCGCTTATAAATAAGTACATATGTGATATATTCCAAGCCATATTTTTTTCAAGGCAGTAACTTTTTCTCTCAGTTTTATTAAACAATAGAGATTCTATACAAAATTTGACAATATCCTATTTTTTCTATTCAGCTTTTCAAGGTAAACTTAAATATTCACAATACATTAGTGTGTCACATATGCACTTATTCATAAGCAAGATATTGACTATAAGCAAGTGCGAGAACGTGTTGGGAGGTGGCTGCTGCCGGTGGGGGGGTAATTTATAGGGGGGTGGAGGTTGTGGTGTAGGAGGGTGGAGGTTGTGGTGTAGGGGGGGTGGGGGTTGAGGTGTAGGGGGGGTGTGGGGGTTGTGGTGTACGGGGGGTGTGGGGGTTGTGGTGTAGGGGGGGTGTGGGGGTTGTGGTGTAGGGGGTTGTGGGGGTTGTGGTGTAGGGGAGGTGTGGGGGTTGTGGTGTAGGGGGGGGTGGAGGTTGTGGTGTAGGGGGGGGGGTGGAGGTTGTGGTGTAGGGGAGGTGTGGGGGTTGTGGTGTAGGGGGGGGTGGAGGTTGTGGTGTAGGGGGGGGGGTGGAGGTTGTGGTGTAGGTAGGGGGGGGTGGAGGTTGTGGTGTAGGGGGGGGTGGAGGTTGTGGTGTAGGGGGGGGTGGAGGTTGTGGTGTAGGGGGGTGGAGGTTGTGGTGTAGGGGGGGGGGGGTTGTGGTGTAGGGGAGGGGGTGTTGGAGAAGGATGGTGGCTGTTCACCTAACCACCAGCCCATCCTATCCACTTGGCTCGACGTCACTAAAACGATGTACTAAATTGGCCGAACCTAACCGAGGACCCACGGATAGAAAACGGGATATAGTTCCTCATTTTCACGTGCCGCAGTGACGTATAATACATCAGATTTTGTCCGTTGGGGGCTCTGTACGTCAAAATATGATGTACTAAGTAGACTGTCCTCTCGAAGCTATGAAGTCAAGCTCTTAATAAATTCAATTCCTCGGGGGACAGGCAGCCTGTGTGTATATAAGTTTTATATCGAGGTGCCCGCAAGGTCAAAGTACTAACCTTCCACACGACGCAGCTTAACAAAACAGCTAACTCCGGGTACCTATTTACCGTGAACAGCAGCATTAGATGAAAGGAAACGAGCCCAACCATGTCCGAATCCTGGCTGGGATTCCAGATTGCGAGTCGAGAACGAAGCCCACTGTACTAACGGAACCCCTTGGTTCCGGAACACTCCCCAGAGACACTGTGGCACTCCCCAGACACTGTGGCACTCCCCAGACACCATGGCACTCCCCAGAGACACTATGGCGCTCCCCAGACAGGCTGGCACTCCCCAGACAGGTTGGCACTCCCCACACACTGTGACACTCCCCAGACACACTGACACTCCCCAGAAACACTGTGGCACTCCCCAGACAGAGGCTGACACTCCCCACACACTGTGACACTCCCCAGATACACTGTGACACTCCCCAGAGACACTGTGGCACCCCCAGACAGAGGCTGGCACTCCCCACATACTGTGACACTCCCCAGACACACTGACACTCCCCAGAAACACTGTGGCACTCCCCAGACAGAGGCTGACACTCCCCACACACTGTGACACTCCCCAGACACACTGTGACACTCCCCAGAGACACTATGGCACTCCCCAGACAGAGGCTGGCACTCCCCACACACTGTGACACTCCCCAGACACACTGTGACACTCCCCAGAGACACTGTGGCACTCCCCAGACAGAGGCTGGCACTCCCCAGACAGGCTGGCACTCCCCAGACAGGCTGGCACTCCCCAGACACACTGTGACACTCCCCAGAGACACTGTGGCACTCCCCAGACAGAGGCTGGCACTCCCCAGACAGGCTGGCACTCCCCACACACTGTGACACTCCCCAGAGACACTATGGCACTCCCCACACACTGTGACACTCCCCAGACACACTGTGACACTCCCCAGAGACACTATGGCACTCCCCAGACAGAGGCTGGCACTCCCCACACACTGTGACACTCCCCAGACACACTGTGGCACTCCCCCAGAGCCTCAGTGTGAAGGGTAATCTCTGGGTGTGAATGCCAGTCTCACGCTACACCAACCCATTCACACCCTCTCTTAATTAATCGTCAGAATTTCCCTGATAGAGGAGAAAATCCCCGCCTATTCATCCGGACTCATCACACGAAAAAAATCTCACGTCACCAGAGAACATTTCCCCTCTCACCCCCGTCCCCCAGCCACCCCCTCTCCCCTTTTTCTCCCCCAGCACCCCCCTCCTCCTCCTCCCCCAGCACCACCAATCTCCACCCCGTTCTCCAAAGACTACCAACCCCGAGGCGATTCCTAGTCTTATTAACCCTCTTTTTTCCCCTCTTTTACCCCTCTGTCTGGGCTGTCACTGGACCCTCAGCACGCGGCTAGCATGTGGCTAGCGGGAGAGGGGAAATCGGGCCGGGTTTTTAATGAATTATTGTCCCCTCAGAGGGGATGTTTTGAGGGGAGGGTGAAGGAGGGCTGACGGGTGATTGAGTCGTTAGTGGCGTGCAGAGGGGAGACAAGGCGACCGCTGAAGGAGCTCGTACCGTCAAGGATCTGGTGATATTAGTGTCTTTTGTTGATCAGACGATGTGCCAGGGGTGATTAGATCATTGTGACGATCAATACTCCCTTTCTGACGGACCGTAAGTGGCCATTTGCGGTACCAAATATATATATATATATATATAAAAGGCGCATCGCCAGCGTCAACTGTTTCTGACAAGTTCCATTCACAATCGGTGGAAGAGCCCGCTAGCCACCAGCCAGCCCCCGCGCAAACGTCACTAGCATTTGTTTTGGAGAAGAGCATTGCTCATTGTGGTCCAGGAAAAGTGGTTAGTGCTATTGTATGCCTACTGGCCATTCCTGGGCCCGTTTTTTTTAGAATGATTAGGTTAAGGGCCAGGCAGTGTTGTTCACATGTTTGGCACGAGCGATAGTTGGAACCGTTATGCTAACTTTAAGCCTGAATTTCTTTGCCAAAACGTATGTAAAGCGAATTACAGGATGTAGAGTGACATGACATGACTGTCACTCATGACAGGAGACACTCACTCATGATATGACATGAGAATCTACCCTATGACTCTACACTACGATTTGTATGGAAAAGCAAGAACATGGGGAGCCGGTGGCTGGGTGGACAGAACACTGGACGCTTTTATACACTGAACACATTTATATTATATATATATATATATATATATATATATATATATATATATATATATATATATATATATATATTCGATCCAATAGGGTCTGAGATCCTAGGTCCATGGGGAGAGAGTGCAAGAAGGTTTCTTAAGGATCTTGGTTCCAAGCTCATTGACACCACAAGAGACCCTAGAGCGGCAAGTTTTCTCTTTCAGCGCCTCAGTGTCGCGATCCAGAGGGGGAATGCTCGCTGCATCCTCGGTTCCTGCCCGGCGTCGGAGGAGTTCCAGGAAATCTACAGCCTCTAGGAAGCGAACTTTTTTTGTGTGTCCTCTTAATGTAATTTTTGTATAAAATCAGATATGTAACTATATATATAAAATAGAGGTACCATCTCTGGTGCAATTGTAGGGACCCATAGCCTCGAAGAAGGGAACACAGAGCATTCAGAGAAAAATTTGCCATTTAACTCTGAATATGTATGAGTGTTCGCTTCTCCTACCACCTTTGATTTTTTTAGCACTTTATTTTACAAGGTTATGCAATTACACGTCTGATTATTTACAAAAAAGTAAATATTTAGAAGAAATTAAGGGAAATTTGTTTCCTAAAGTGTGTAGATTTCTTCCAACTCCTCCAACGCAGCAGGGTCCGAGGACGTAGCGAGCATTCCCTCTCTGGATCGCGACACTGAGGCGCTGGAAGAGAAAACTTGCCGCTCGAACCTGGAACCATGATCCTTCAGAAACCTCCTTGCACTCTCCCTAAAAGGTCTCAGACCCTATTGGAACGAAGTTGTACCGATGATCTAATTGCCTGTACTTGGCTGACTTGTCTTTCTCTGTGTGTCGCCGCGGCTCCTGCTGTGCCGGCAGAGAGGTTGATGTATGTGGTTGCCAGGGTGGATACACAAGTATAGTCCCACGCCAACTGTCTGCCATTTTTCCAGACATATGTATATATAAGAAAAGCAGTTGGAGGTGCGAGAGTGGGTGAGGTGAAGGGGGTGAGGGGAGAGAGTAAGGGGAGAGGGGAGAGGGTGAGGAAAGGGGAGAGGGTGAGAGGTAAGTAAGGGGAGAGGGTGAGAGGTAAGTAAGGGGAGAGGGGAGAGAGTGAGGGGAGAGGGGAGAGAGTGAGGGGAGAGGGTGAGAGGAAAGGGGAGAGGGTGAGAGGAAAGGGGAGAGGGTGAGAGGTAAGGGGAGAGAGTGAGGGGAGAGGGTGAGAGGTGAGGGGAGAGGGGGAGAGTGGTTAAGGATCACCAGTCAGCCGGACTAGCGTGCTGGGGGAGCCCTTACCCACAAAACAACGCTACCCGATCGTCTCAAATTGAGCAGAAACCAACAACGCCCTCTCCCCCTAAACCCCCCAGCACCCCCCCCCCCCTTCCCACAATCCTCCCCCAACCCACCAGCCTCCCCCTCACATCCCCCCCCCCACGTCCCCTCATCCCCCCCTCAAATCCCCTCTGTTCGCTTGTTGTGAGTCGCTGTTGGGTTTATAATTCACGTATTATCTCTGATAAGATTAAAGCGTAGTTTTAATATCTCAAAATTCAATCAGATTATATTTTATTTTTTTAAATCTATAATTTATTACTATTTTTTT